ATGGTTACCAATTATTTTTTGTCTCCCTGTATTATAAAACCATAGGATATATAAATCTGCTTTCTTGAAGGTTAACATTAATCTCATTCATATGTCAAATATGTCATCAGCTTAATGCTGATTATCTAAAGTCACAATTCTTATTTGTTCAAAACTCCTACCTTTGAGGCATTTGCACCAATTTTTACATTTGCTTTTTTTTTTTTGTCATTAAAGTTAGTACGTTTTCAGCACGCTTACCACATAGACTGGGGTTATGATGGGCGTTTAGGTGTAGCCTTTGTGACTTAGAAACAATCACAGTCTTCCTCATGTCCACTTTCTTAGCAGCCTTGATCCAAATAGCATCTTGAGAAATTTGTGTTTCTTTCTACTTTCTCTTCAGGCTAATGGGGGTAGCTCTCACAGGATAAGGTTACAAAATACTTATTAGGATGTCTGTGTCTTCTGCTTTCAACTGGCTTCATAAACAGTACTTAAAAGATTTAAGCCACTTATAAAACTGCAGTCGGGCCCATTTTGATGTGGTTTAAATTCCTTATCCCTAGAAATCTAAGTATCAGGTACAAAGATACGAGCTTGCTTTTGAGACCTACAGACTGACAAATGGATCTGTGCATATTCTGTCTTTGAGTTACAGATAGGTTCGTATAAATTTGTGAGCCCATGAGAAAAACTCCACTCGTTTTTATTTCTGCCATCTGCTTTACTATACTACTCTGCCTTGTGTTTAAGAGCACTGACTCCAACCACCTACTTTTGACTGACAAAATTCATGTCGTGACTGCTTTTATCAGGTGATAAAGAGACCCCCTCCGTGACAGTGATAGGGCCTGCAGCCTAGAGGTGAGAGACTTTTATTACACAATCATGGAAGCAATCAGTCAAGACTCAGGAATATGGAACCAGAAGGCAAGCCACAGTTTCTCAGCAGTTACTGTATTTTCATGGATGAACCTGGACTGTGGTGAGAATGGCGTGTTGCTAGGGGCTTTATCAAAAGAAGTAAATTCATCAAGGAATTACATCTAGTTCTTTCGACTTCGGGGTGAATACTTTAAAAAGTGAAATTTAAGGTTCTTTAGAATTGGAGGCTTCCCTGATAATGTCTACGTTTGGGTATCTTTTCCCGTATAGTATGGTGTGTATGTCAATATCAAACTGCCTGTGGATTTTCATCATTTGCCCATGTTCATTTGTTTTCTTCACCAGCTCATTTTTCCTTCCAAATGTCATATGCCACAGTTTAGTTTTTGAAGTAATTTTTAACACTACAGCCAAAGCCCTTTAGAATGAACATATGGATATACTTGTTACATGCAGTTATGGTTCCAGTAGTGTTGCACAGGTGTCTATGGAGGCCAGGAGTGGGCATCTGGTTCCCTGGGGGCTGTGGTTACAGCTGGCAGTGAGCTACCAGATGTAGGTACCGGGAACCAAACTCCAGTCCTCTGCAAGATCAGCACATGCTCCTAACTGCTGAGCCAGTTTTCTGGACCCCTAGCAGGTTTTCATAATCATCTTCTGTGATGGATACGATTTGTTTCTTTTGGTTGTGATGGTCTTCGTACATCTTCAAAGAATAAGTGACTTGCTGCAGCCTCTGCCTCCTGGGCCAGCATGGACAACATTGCCTCCCCACCTGCCCTTGGCTGATCTGAGCAGAATTTGTTACTTTCATAAGACACTAAAAGTTTCAGAATACAGAGGCATCAGTAGAAGCCTTTTTAAACTTTATATTCCACTGAAATGGGATTTAAACACTACCAGGTCTCATGTTTCAGTCTCAGCTCTTTGCCCACGGAGGAAGGTCCTTGAGTTATTTCGTAAGTCCATTAAGGATGCATTTGCGTGCCCTCCCAAGGGGTCTGATTGCAATATTTAATCAGAACTGACGTTAGTGACTCTGAATCCAAATGTGGACTTGGGTGCATGGTGTCTCTCATTTCTTGCACGGTTATGGAGAAGTCTCTGGACTTCTGGAGGAAGAAGAGGAGTAGTGTTCAGTAAGAGCTGGCTTACGTTTGGCCGTAGATATTTTACCAAGTGGTATGGAAGTCTAGTTATTGGCTACCTCGGAGGTCACGGTGGTGCTATGCTATCCTATCTCCTTTGTAAAAGGAGCAGGTAGAGAGCTTTGTGGAGTTGAATGCCTGCTGCAGTGGATGTCACTGCTCTGTCCCCATGAGATGTCTTTAAAACCTGATGAGGTGCTAAGTCAAGCCTTCTTATTTTCTTGCCTGGTGTTGGGAGGTGCCTCTGGAAAAATATTTAAAAATTCTGAAATAGTAAATTTGTTAAATTTTTCTTGATTAACAGCAAGGTACAAGGACTGAAATTTTTCTATGAATTTATTCACTACTCTTTAATGTACTTAACTATCTTGCAAAATTAGATTGATCCAAGATAATACATGAATTCTGAGTTCAAGTCCACCTCAACTTCTTATAATAATTACAACACTCTATGAGCCAGACACTGGTGTTAAAATACAACAGTGGGCATAATTGGGGAGGGGAGTCCTTCCCCTTTAGTCTCTTGGAGGGGGAGTTGACATTGAACAATTAAGCCAGCTCTGTAGTATGCTAGAAAACTATTCAATGCTGATCTACAGGCATCAAGCTGGGAAAGAGATTGCGAGCTGGTGGGAGTCGAGGATTCATTGAGGAGGTTCCATATGAAAAAGAACCAGCAGAGAATGAGGGATATGGTACTGTGTTATCAGAAGAGAGAGTTCTAGGCCCAGAGAACAGCAAAGTTAATTCCCCTGAGGTAGCCATAACAGGAAGACAGTGTGGCAGGAAGGGCAGTGAGACTGAGCTGAGTCAGCCGTCCTTGGACAAGGAAATTACGTTTGCGTTTTGAGTAAAGGAGTTTACTGTGGTGTGCATTTTACCAAGAAAGCCTCTTTGCTGATGGTCTAAGAAAGGTCAGTGGAGAAGTGGTGTAGAATGAAGTCAGTTTAGAAGGTTCACTGTGTTTCAGAGAGTGATAGACGGCCTCTGGGTGCTGGATGTTAAGGGAAGAGCCAGCAGACCGGAGGTGTGGGTGGGGAGAGCAGACAAGGCAGTTGGAAGATGGGAACAGGGGCGTCTCTTTGCTGAGACTTGTGAAGACTAAAAAGCAGTGATTATCAAGAGCTCAGGTGTAGACACGCTAGCATCAAGTATCCTTAAAATATTTAGTGGAGACAGAAGCAGGGGTCTAGAATGGAGACAGGAGTTTGGGGTTCATTATTATGTAAGGAATACTTAAAATCAAGAGAGCCCTGGGATTGCCAGAGAGTGAACAGAAACAAGTTATATACTGTGAGAGAGCCCCACAGATGTTCTTATGTGATGAATAGCAAAACAGAGTAGTAGCTGGGTGTGGGGCTGTGGAGAGTAAGGGGTGTGGTATCCCAGGAGTGAGGAGAAGTTTGGATAGCCGTGGTCAGCTATGCTTAGTGCTGCACAGGTCAAATCAAGGGGTCTGTTAAGTGACTATTACTTATGGTCAAGTTTGATGACTTTTTTTTAAAGGAAAAGTATTAGTGGGTCAGAAGTTGGGAAAAGTTCAGTTGGACTCCAGTACAAAACAAGAGATTGAACTACATCTACAACTCTGTGAAGTGGGCAGAAGCAAAGACTGTAAGGCAGTTTGCCAGGAGGCGTCCCTGTTTGGGAATGCTTGTCTTAGGATCTGCGCACAGTCACCTGCTGTGGGGCAGCAGGGGCTGCTTGTGCACAGTGCCCTCAAAGGTCTTCCCTCTCTCTATATATATCTGTCTGTCTGCCTGCCTATCTGTCGATTATCCAGATAGATATATCTATAGATATAGATCTACACAGATAGATGATAGATAGATAGATAGATATAGATAGATAGAGAGAATGAATCATATGTTGCAATCTGCCCTCTGACCTCCACATGTACAATGTAGTATACATGTATGTGTAAGATAGGCACTCATGTACATATAAACATACACACACAAATTTAAAACAAATTTAAAGAGCTGGCTCCTCTGTGTTTTGTGGTATAAAGTTATATATGAAAGTGTGTGTTTACGTATGTATGCATACAGGCATGTATGTATGTATATGTGTGGGTTATTTAAATTTTAAAAACTGCCATCCAATATATTTTATTTTGGTTTTCAGCATTTTATTTTTAATTAGCACACAAGGTATTCTATCTAATCATGACGTTCTTGAGTAAAGTGTGTTTTAGTTACTTCTCCCCCCACCACCATCCAGTACTCTTTTGTCGCCTTCTTCTTGTGGCGTCCTTCCCATTCTCCCTTCCACTTCAGTGTCACGTGTAGGTTTTTTAACATGTTCTTCATGTGTGTCTTCATACTGAAAAACAGAGTCAGCTCTGTGTGTGTGTGTGTGTGTGTGTGTGTGCACGAGTGCATGCACTCCCCTCTTCATGTATGTGAGGAGGCCAGAGGTTCTGTAGTACTCCACCTCTATTGTGCCCCACCCTGAGCTCACCAGTGGGTTTGACTGGCTGCCAGGGGGACAAGGATCCGTTGGTTTCCTCTCCCCACCCTCACACACACACTGGGGTTACAGATAACGGGACACCACGTGTGGGTTTTAAGTTGGTGCCAGAGATACAAACTCAGTACCTCATGGTTGTGCAGCAACACTACCCTCTGACCCATCTCCTCAGCCCCTTCAATCCTGTCCTTTACGTCCAATAATTTCTCCAGAATTTTCCTCAAAAGTTGTCTTTTAATTGTGTCACTTTGGAGTCTTGTACACTGTAGTGTGTGTGTCAGCCCCATCCTAGATGAATTTTTTTTAAAGAAGGGCCATTTGTTTTTGTTTCTTTATGTACCCATCCCCTTGTCTACCATCTGTACTTGGCAGATGCTCCATAAATATTTTTGGATGAATGACTGTTGCGGTTCCTTTCAGTATTTGACATGTTTGCTGCAGAGGTCAGGGCCATCCTGAAGTCTGTGGTTGGTTTCTAAATGTAAGATTCTTTGGCCATTTTGTTTTCTACAGAGTTCCGCTGATGGGGTCATGGTGAGGACAGGGTCACTGCAGCTCAGTAGCTCGTCAGTTGGAACTTCGTCTCTGAAAAGAACAAAGCGAAAAGCACCCGCCCCGCCTTCGAAAACACCCGTGCAGCAGAATGACACCAGCCTTGCATCTGATACTGGTATTCTCTTGTGAACAGTACATTGGCTTTGGCTTTGTGTGTTAGTACAGTCAGTAAAAGCAGTGTGAGTCATGACCTATGTTTTTTCCTTTTAAACAGTCTTTCTCTGTATATCCTTAGCTGGCCTAGAACTCCCTAATCAGACCAGACTGGCCTCAGACTCAAAGAAATATATCTACTTCTGTCTCTGAGTGCTGGGATTTAAGATGTGTCCTTAATTTGCCCTCTGTCTCTCTCTATCTCTCTCTGTCTCTATCTCCATATATGTGTGTGTGTATACACTAATGAAACCAGGCTTTAAAATAGTCTGATTATCCTCACTTAACCGCTTTTGGAAAGTCTGTAATGAAAAACGACAAAATTATACTGCTTCATTATTGTAATGAGCCTGTGAACAGTGTGCAGATTTATTCAGAAGATACCAACCACGATTCCGGGTTTGACTACTTAGGAGTGGGGTTGGAGGGTGAATGCAGTCATTTCACAGCCGCACGGTAAATGACCTAGTAAGTTTAAGTTCATCCTTCCTGGACTAAGTAAAAGCAGAAAATTTCCTGAGGAGTTGTTTCTCGTCAGAGTGTGACTTTTTTTTTGTAAATCAGTTTTGTTGCATCTTTCAGCCCTGCCTCCAGAAGATGGACTTGCCCCAGACAGCGCTGTGGAAGCAAACTCTCCTGAGGGCCTGCCCAGCCCAGGTATGACTCCCATCACTCTACACTGCAACTGTGAAGGAAAGAAATAGAGACTTGGATTCTTTGGCCTCCTTTCCCCACATTGGTACTGTGAAACAAATCCTGTAACTCCCCCGAGGATTAGACGCTAGGATTAGAAACTGGCAGAGGTGAAAATTTCACTTCTGAAGCTGGACCCCCAAGTTCTCTCTCTCTGTTTGGTCTCTTGCTTTTCCTTATGCACTATCTAGTGGACAGTTAGCAGGTAGGGATACACCACAGTTAGAAGATTCATTGGTATGTTTCAAAGACTTAAATATACAGTCTCTTAAATTGCTTCCGGACTGAATTCAGCATTCATGCTGTCCCTGCTCTAACGGTGAATGTTGCTCGCATGCAAATTCTTCTCACCACATAGCTCACATTGTGGATTCTCCCCAAGTAAATGACGTTAAAAAATAATCAAACAATACAGTCTGTTTTATTTTATTTCAATAATAACTACTTAGTAGCTTTTGTAAGAATAACTATGAGCTGGGCTTAGTGGTGCCCATCGATAATTCCAGCATTTCAGAGGCTGAGGCAGGAGGATCCACAGGGTTAGCCCAACCTGCCTTAAGAAGAAAAAAAATACTAAAACCATCTCACTCTTAGTACATAAGCATGGAGATATTGACAGGTGTGATTACCTGCATCATACCATTTATATTCACAAAGTTGGACGAGTTTAGGAGCAGCTGCCCTTGAACTTGACTCTTACATGGTACATGTTTATGTTTTAAGACATTGATATTATGTAAGTAGTAATGCTTTTTTTTTCTCATTAGAACAGTCTTAACAGGACTAACTTATCCCGTACAGGAAATTTATCAGATAATGTTACCAACTTTTAATATGTCGTAGAATTAGGAGGTTTCCAAGTTTCTGAAAGATGGGCAGGCTCCTCGAACATTGTCCCAAGTTTGTTTCTCGCTTTGCCTTTCAGATCTGTTCCGTGGCTCAATGTGAGCTAATAACACTGATTTCCCACTGTATCTTGATGTCTGCTTGCTTTGTTTTAATTCTCTTGTCTAAGTGCCATTTCCACAGACTCTACTTCTTTGACAGAGGGCTCCCCTGGCCCCGGGTTCCTAAGCCAGGAGCAGTGCACTGTGCCCAAGCCGGCGGATGAACTCTCGCTCTCTGAGGGCCCTGGAACTCCAGAGGCAGCTGTAGCATCCTTGACATGTAGGTGTTCAGGCCTTAACTGGCTCTGGCTTTGGTATATGCAGAGGAAGATGCCATTGAGTATAGATCAGATTACTTATTACACCCTAAAATGCTTCATAAGGAAATAATCATGTATGCCTTTATCCAGATTTGTAATATGTGGTTTCCTTTAATCATCTAAATGATCAGGGCAAAATGGGAGAGAAGCCACTCTGGCTCTGAGGAGCACTTTTGCTTGTATTTGGTACCCTACTGTTCCGAAGGGCTGCTTGAACTTGATTGTTTTCAGTGAGCATATAAGAGAATATTTCCAAGTATTCTTTATTGAGCTACCCCTGTGCTAGCTGTGTGGCTTATTTTCTCTATTATTCTCAGCTGCCTTTTCTCTTTTAAAAGTAGGATTATCTTGTTTTAAGATAACACAGTGTTATAGCTATATAAAACTTAAATCTCATAAAATTGACTCATTTTTCTAATCATTTTGACTTAGTCGCCTAAGGTTAGTATACTGTCACATGTTCCTTATTATAGTGCAAAGTTGTTTGAGGACTTTAGCAAGCAGTTTGGAGAATTTTGGGGGGAGTGGTGGAGATTAATGACAGACCTTCATGCTAAGGGGGGTAGGGATCTCCCGCTGTGCAGTCACTTAGTCTTTGACAGGGTATTTAAAATGAATGAACATGCTCATCTCCATATGACTCCACAAGCGTTGCCCATGGGTATTTTTTCAAGAAAAACAAAAGTGCAAATATACATAAAGCCTGCAGTTACAGATTCCAATGTGGTAATTGCCTCCAAAGGGGGAAATACTCAAATATTTCTAAATTGTAGAGTAGACAATTAAGTCTTAACTCATCCATACATCACAATACAATGCTGACTAGAAAGAGAAGTGTGCTTAGGATTAATTTAATAGTACTATATTTTACCAAAGGCATAATCTGTCAAGCAATTTTTCCATTTTGATGATAACCAGGAAAAACATGCGGTATCTAAAAAGACATATTTAATGTTAAGTTTAATAGCATCGCAATTCAAATGCAGCAATCACATTCTTTGAAATGTTTGTTACATTTCATCTTCATATGTTTCACATTTATCTAAATTTAAATTCCTTTACATTTTCTTCTGAATAATCAAATCTCTGTGAAGGAAGTAATCAGCAGAACTAACCATAGCACTTTTTGGAACTTCCCTTGTAGACCAGGCTGGCCAGAAACACAGAGACCCGCCTGCCTCTGCCTCCTGAGTGCTGGGATTAAAGGCGAGTACAGCATGCCTGTCATTGATTTTGTTTTGTTTTGAGGGTTTCATTGTTGTTATTTTATGTATATATATTTTGGAAAGGTTCTTGCTGTGTTGCTCACATTAGCCTAAAATTCTTGGGGAGACATCATTCTCTTGACTCAGCCATCTCAGGTGCTAGTGTTGCACATAATCAAGACCCACTCTTCCCTCCCTCCCTCCCTCCCTCCCTCCCTCCCTCCCTCCCTCCCTCCCTCCCTCCCTCCCTCTGGTCGCCTTCCCTCCCTTCCTTTTTTCTTTTACTTTTTTGGGGGGACAAGTCCTCTCTACATAGCTGTGGCTGTCCTAGAACTCACTGTAGACCAGGCTAGTCTTGAACTCATAGTTCCTTGCCTCTCAAGTTCCGGTACTAAAGGTGTGCAGCACCACTCCTGGCTCATGTGGTCTTTCAAAGACCAGAAGTTAACACCCGTTTCTGTCTAAAACTAAAATTACACTTCTGTTACAGTTTGTGGATGGTCTGACCACTGTAGCAGTGGTACATGACCTTACTGCCCTCTCTCCAGGTAAAATTAAATTTCATTCAGATGCTCTCGTGTAAACGAAAATGTTAAATTTGTTTAAGCAAAAATACTGAGCCTCATGGAAAGTTTAAACTTTCACAGTTGATGTTGGCAAGAATGATGAGCACTTCACTGCTGGAATGTCTCCTTTTTTACCCTACTGCCATTGGTTGTTGGCAGTAAGAAATAATGATAAAAAATTCTTGTAGAATGAAATATTACCCAAAATTGTTGAAAAGAACTGCACACACATACATACCAGTATGTGATTATGTGATAAGATTTAGATATAGTAAATGTGTGTATGTGTGTGGGGGTTGTTAAAACATTGACTGTAACATACTTTAGTTTAAATTACCATAACAAAAAGAGAAAAACTCAGATTTCTGGTTTTTCTGAGTGTGGATACTTATGCATGTTTGTTATACTTTCTGGAACACAGGAAAAAGTTTCAGAAGATGTCCCTTCAGCTAGACGTGCTGGGTTGTGTCTGTATTTCCAAGCACTCAGGATTACAAGAATTTGAGGCTAACCTGTGAAACACAAGACTCTACCTTAGCAACAAAGGAAAACTAAAATGAGACCAACAAAAAAACCCCAAAACAACAACAAAAACTGGAACTGGGTCTGTTGCCTCAGATTTGTAGGTCTAGCTACTCAGGAAGTTGAGGCAGGAGGATGTTATGTCTAGGCCTTCCTGGGCTATAGAGCATATTCAAGGCCAATTTTGGACATTTACAGGGAAAAATACTATAAAATGGCTTCAAACATAGCTCAATGTGTAGCATAGTCTTACCTAGCATTCACAAAGTTACAGTATTAGTATAGCATATCTAAGAAGAGAAAAAAATTAATTTGCAGTGTTTGATCTTTGTTTCCCTCTATTAAAAATATTAGGCAGTTAGATAAGTGGCTCTTAGTGTAGACTGAACATTAGAAACACATAAAGAATCATCACTGTTCTTGGCCCCAATGCCCATAGGATTCTAATTTAGTAGCAGGATATCTGTGAGCATCAGTATTTCCAAAGGACACCCAGGTACTCTCATTTGTAGTGAATGCTGATACCTATGGAGACAGTCTATGGGCATATTAGTAGACAATACAAAAATCTCATATTCTATTCATTTGCATTTTAGGCTACTAGTTTGTCTAATTCACATTATTTTTACATGACTCTAAAGTTACCTAATGAAAAGTATTCATTCCTAAATGCAATTATATGGCGTTTAGAAGATTAACCTTCCACGAGCCCAGAGTGGTAGAACATGGTTCTAGAGTGATATGATTGTGAGATGGTTTGCTTATATGCCAGTGTGACCATTCACCATTAGAAAAACATTTCACTATTAATTTGGACCCCCCCCTTTTAAGATGCTAGGTAATTGTTGTTATTAAAGCCCCCTCCTTGCTAGATTGTGTAGAATGAACAGGGCAGATTGGTATTGAGGATTATATCTGCATTTCTTTGTAGCTGGTGTGAGCTCTGATTACAGTCTTGAAGAGATAGATGAAAAGGAAGAACTGGGCGAGTCACCTAAGGCCCAGGCGGAAAGTGTTTCTGTGAAGTCACCTGACAGCCCTTTGGTGTCTACTGATGTAGTGAACACGTTGGAGAATGAGCCTGACTCGGCCCTCAGCCTCAGTGATGGAGAGGCCTCTCCAAACTCCAAGGGAAAAATCCAAGAAGGCAGAAACACAGAGGGACAGTAAGTAGTTTCTAGGCCACAAGTCGTGGTGGTGGTGATTTGTTTGGGTAATGCTGTTGCTTTGACAGAAAGATGGTATTTTAAGCTTTTACCTATAGTTGGCCATTTTGTTTTGGTTCTATCTCTCGTACAGTCCTTGTAAAAGTGCATATTAATAAAGTAGCAAGCTACACATAATTGTGTTCAGATGAAATCCAATCCAGTTGTAATATCCCCATGTCAGGTAACCATCACATATAAGTTAGTTAATTTGTGTGACTCAAAAATAAAAGTTTCCATTTGTTCCATACATTTTGTTCATTATTTGTTTGACCCAAATAGTTCAGTGAGTTTTCACTCTGTCTGAATGCATCTGAGGATTTTCACTACCTGGACTGTGAAACTGCTCTATAAATTCAGAGTAAATTAAGCCACCAGCATTGCTTATAGTCAAGTCTGAGGTGCAAACAGCACTGTCCACTTGATGCAGGAATTCTGAAAATCCTCTAGTCCACTATGCACCACTGTGAATAAAGTTGACATCAAACGAGCAAAGTAAGCTTTCTTCATTAGAGGTTTACCTAATTTGCATGCAGTTGTCTCCAAATTAAACTCTCTTGTCACCAGAAGAAAAAAATAAAAATCAGTGAGGTCAATTCACATCCTGATTTATGTAGTGGACTTTGCCAGATGCAAGGATAAAATGTTCCATTTCATTTCCTTTTCTCTTTAAGAGAAAAATAGCTCCTAACAACTAAGTAAAGACATCCATTTGGAAGTGTCCCTTTTCACCAGGCTTCTTACATCTTCTTAGCAATAGGACAAGTTTACTGAAGCTAATGTTTCCTAGCAGCATTTCCTCTGCTATATTTCTCTAATATTTGGCAGGAAAGGGTGATTATTTCAATCCATCTGTGTTTGAAAGAAGTATTGCCTGTTTTTTTTTTTATGGTGTGTTTGAATAACCTCCACGTATCATGTCCAATGTCATGTCTTCCAGAGAGTCACATAATCCTGTTGTATGTGATATAAGCAATGAAGACACAGTATCTGACAGTATAAGAGACTTGAAGACATTGGGCCCAAGCCAGGAGAGTGGTGAGTGTTACAAACACAGACGACTAACACAGTGTCATAGATTGTAACAAACCAAGGATATCCTTAAAACAGGTTGAATCAATTCTTTCATTAATCGACTCATTTATCTGTCTCATTTATGAATAATAATGTGGGAACTGTTACTCGGAGACTCACTTTACACAAAAGCAAGCCATGAAGATATACTGTCTCACAATTAGTAAGTGGTGGATGTAGGATTTGAACAAGAACTGTATAATTCCTTGCACAGTGGGCTCTTAGCTGTCATGTCTGTGTCTCATGCTGTTGCTCTACCTTTGGATGCTATCTGACTTAAATTTAATATCTTACAGTTGTGTCCTCTGCACATCTATCTGTGCCCTGAGTTCCTCTCCGTTCCCTAGTGCATGATTTTACTTCATACTCAAATTGCCACACTTTGGATGAAACTTGCCTGCCTGATTTTCAAGCCATATAATTACGAAACATCGCCACCATTTCCCCATTTTCACCCAAATTAAAGCAGCTTCTTGTTTTGTTCATGATGTAATTGGTTTACTCCTGCCAGTTGGTGTAGGGTCATGCTGTCCTTGTATAGGAAGCTGTCTCCATTTACTTCAGCCATTCAGTTCCTATCCACACCCTTCTGTGTTAACTTTGTTACTTGATTACTGTAAGCTGTGCACTTCAGTATTCCTGACTTTTCAGCCAAGTCACACAGGGTTCCATCAGGGAATTCAATCCGTGACTTCCTGTGAAATCTTTATAGCACATAACAAAATTGAACTTCAAAGCAGAATAATGCAGCTGGGCAGTGGTACCACACACCTTTAGTCTCAGCACTTGGAAGGCAGAGGCAGGCAGATCTCAGTGAGTTTGAAGCCAGTCTGGTCTACAAAGCCAGTTCCAGGACAGCCACAATGGTTACGCAGAGAAACCCTGCCTGGAAAAACAAACAACATCATCAAAAACAAGAGTAATTCTCAGAAGAGAATTCAAGGAATATGTGATAATACATTCTGAGGGAATGAGAAGGAGGCTTATGGATGTTTATGGTCCAATCTGTGTTAAGTGAAAAAAACTTTAATAGTCACAAAAAACAAACACAGGGTCATAGAATTCATATTTGGAAGGAAATGGATAGTTCCAATATTACTCTTGTTGCTGCTGTTGGTTGTGTATGTTTGCGTTTGCCCTCGATATAGTGCAGAGTTTTACAGCTAATGTGAATTTATTTGTATCTGATTCATTTTCTCCATTCACAGTACTCTTTTCTGATACATATTAAAATGTTCTAAAGCTCTTCTTGGTTCTGCATACACCTTTGGGGCAATAGTATTGCTATTGAAAAATGTAATTTGGGCATCAATTTGCTTACTTATTTTGTAGTGCTAGGGTTTGCATAAAAGGCTTTGCACACAGAGGATGGGTGTCTACCCAGTCCTCAGAGCTCTTCCTTCAAGTGGCATCTGAAACACAGCTGTAGTCTCAGTCCTCAAAAGGCTAAGACTAACTCTGGTTAAATAGTAAGATGATCTAACAGTCAATCCATCACTTCCTTTTTAAAAACTTGGATACTCACATCAGTAAGATTTTCATACCAGAGCAGTGCTGGGTTATTTGCAAGTATTTCTCAGTAATATGTTCTGTCATGTACATGTACAAGTTATTTTAAAAATTATTTTCTAGTATCCATAAGGTATCTTATTATATTTTTCTTTACCCCATATGCAGTTATATGCACCACCGTTATAGTGTTCCATTGTAGAAGTAAGTCATTGTTAGTTTTGAATAGAGGGAAGGAAAGAAAGGTAATGCTATAGCTACCCTTTCCTTTATTGGTATTCCTTGGGAGATGGTGCAGCCATTCCTAAACATTTGGTGAGTATCATCATTAGACTCAGGGAGGGCAGTTGATGAATTCAGTGGTGGGTCTAGATTGTCTTCTTGACAGTCTTTGGGAATAATTGTGACATGTTGATGAGAAATAGAGAGTGATTAATAAGTCAACTCACTAAAAATATGACACCTGAAATTCAGAGTTTTAACACCAGCAAGCTAGAGTTGCTTATTGGGGTCTATACAATTAGTTTTACACTTAATTATTTTCTCTTAGAAACAGCCCGTACTATTTCCTGTGTCCTATTACTTGTCTTTGTATAATTAAGAAGCTGAAAATGGTATGTAGCCCTCAGATCATCCAGTTACAGATTGGGTGAGGCACATTGAAAAACTGAATTCTCCCACATTTTAACGTATATGCTTGACAGTATTTTATTTTCTCTCTTAATAGTTCAAAATGAAATCATGGTCTGTGCCACAAACACAGATTATACGAAAGACAGTCTGAATAAAACAGAAACCTCCACAGAAAGCCAAGCCCCAGAGAAAGGCGTGGACGCGGAAGCTGATAGACTGTCGGGCTTGTCTGCAAGTAGAACAGATCATGTTAAAAGCTCTAGGGAAAATCATCTAACGGCACCGTCTGGACCAGATCAAAAATTGAATCAACCAAGTGTAGAAAAGACAAAAATGCAAGATGCAGCAATTCAGGCCACCCCTGCCTGCAGCAGTTTTGATGGGAACCACGAAGACCGTAATTCGCCTGACCTCAAGGTTGATGAAAGTGTGCAGACTTCAAATAGCAACAGATCAACTCAGCACTCCTCCTTAAGTCTCCATGATCCTGTAAATGCCTCAAAGGCATTTGGGAGTCAGGGCACCCCAATGCCTGTCCAAGATAGACTCCCCATGAAAGAGCCAGCATGTGTGTATGGGAACAACGACCCTTTGTCTCCTGTAGATGGACATGATAAGAATCCAGCTGCTTCTTATCTAAAGAATCTTCCACTTTATAGACAGGACTACAATCCCAAGCCAAAACCTTCAAATGAAATTACAAGAGAGTATATACCTAAAATTGGAATGACTACTTACAAAATAGTGCCCCCCAAGTCCCTGGAAATAGTGAAAGATTGGGAATCAGAAGCAGCGGGGAATAAAGATGACCAAAAGATGCCTGCTGAGGGGCAAAAGCATAAGCTTGGGGATATGCAAGGAACAGCTGCGCAGACAGAAGCCCTTGTCACTTCCAAAGGCTCACAGGAGCCTCAGCCCGACCTTAAGCCAAAGCCGGGCTTAGGCACAGAGCGTCATTTGCACAGGACTCTGAGCGTTGGTGCCGAGATGAACCCTCCAAAACCTCCCAGAATGACTATGGACACGGGTAGCATTCCTTTTGCACCAAATTTGGAAGATATAAACAATATTTTGGAGTCAAAATTTAGATCACGAGCTTCAAATCCCCAGGCCAAACCAAGTTCATTCTTTTTGCAGATGCAGAAGAGAGCATCAGGTCACTATGTGACTTCTGCAGCTGCTAAGAGTGTGCACCCTGGCCCCGGGCCTACCCCCAAAGAACCGACAACCAAAGAGGTGCAAAGGGACCCCCAGCCCTCTTCAGAACAGACTCTTTTTCCCTTAAGTGAACGGACTCATTCTGCTCAGCTGCCCAGTCTTTCAAAAACTGATGATGACAGGATCATCCAGAGGCCTGCTGAGACCTCTCCTCCCCCTGTAGCTCCCAAGCCTGTGGCTCCTGCTGAGACCTCTCCTCCCCCTGTAGCTCCCAAGCCTGTGGCTCCTGCTGAGACCTCTCCTCCCCCTGTAGCTCCCAAGCCTGTGGCTCTTCCTGGTACTCAGGGAGCATCGCTAAACCTGAAGACCTTGAAAACTTTCGGGGCCCCACGACCATACTCCAGTTCTGGGCCCTCACCCTTTGCCCTTGCGGTGGTGAAAAGGTCACAGTCGTTCAGTAAGGCACGTCCAGAATCCAGTGAGGGCTTCTCCACCCAGCCTGCAGACGCTGGGGATGAAAAGACAAACGCAGCAAATAAATCTGCAGTGACTCCCCAACCCGATGATGTTGATAAGGTAAGCCTTAACGTTCCGAATACAAGCAAGCAGATTACGGTACGACCTGGTTAAAGTAGGGACAGCCCATTTTCTACCAATACTTTTAGTGTGTTTGTGTATTGCTTAACTGAGTTACATTGCACTCAGCTGTAAGGTCATCGCTACGTACTTGTTTCATTAGCAAATACCATAAAGTTGTTTATTCATGCACATGTGTCACTGCTGAGTAGTGGCTTTTTTCCTGTGCTGTAATATTTTTCTTAACTGTTTTGGATATTATGGTTGGCTTTATTTTTTATCCACCTTTAGAACTATGTAATAGCCAAATAAATAGTTTTAATTACTTGAAAGAAACAGTATCAAGGACTGGAAGGGGCTCAGTGTGTCTCAGTCATATATTTCCCATTACATGCATTCAACTTCAGCTTACCAGACATATCCCATATAACTTAATTTAAAATGAAAGTGGCTTTAACTATAATTTTCGTAATTATCCATTATGTTAGTTCCCATTACGTGCATGTAGATCAAAATACCATCCAACCATGGTAATTTTTAGAAAGTCCCGTTGACCTGAATTGTCAACTAAGCGTCTTGCTTTCTGGATTCCCATAGAATAGTCAATGGAGGTGATGGAATTCACAGTGTGATTCATGGTAATCCACAAGCCATCTTTAAAAAACTACATTGTGTCCCCTACTCTGGTAGCATTTAAAGAATACTTTTGCCAGATGTTGGTGGCGAACACCTTTAATCCCAGCACTCAGGAGGCAGAGGCAGGTAGATTTCTGTAAGTTCGAGGCCAGCCTGGTCTACAGAGTGAGTTCCAGGACAGCCTCCAAAACACAAAACAATACAGAGAAACCCTGTTTCGAAAATACAAAAAAAAAAAAAAGAAAAGAAAAGAAAAGAAAAAAGAATACTTTCCTGTTTGTGTGGTGACAGCTCCAGGAACATTTTATACAACTTTCTCAAACATTCCCAGACTAAGAAAACAGTGACCCTGATGCCAAGTGAATTCTTCTCTTCAATGTTGAGGCAATATTTATCTTGAAGAATATCTCCTCATACCTTTGACATTTATGCTTACTAGTTTAATCCAGCATCAGGAAGTGATGTGTGATACAGAGAATTCTGGACTTGGGGGTGGAGCCTGCATTTTCCCTGAATGGACTACCGTTGCTAAATAATGCAAGCTTCATTTAGATGATGGCAGTTTTGATTCACTGTCTCCGCCTTATTTAGTTCATTTAAAAAGTAAAGATATGAATCTGACAGTTTGCAAAAGATATTTTTAGGATTACTTGATATAACACTTCCCAATTACATCAGTTACTAAATATTTGTTCTTAAGAGGTTTAATTAAATTTCTGATTATTTAGTTTGGAAGATCTTAATATTTAATTTTAGTCTAATGGGTAAAAAAGAATCCCAGTGAGCCCATAGTTCTTGTTGCTTCTGTAAACAAAAAACTCAGGCCATTAAGTGTAGTGGAGACATCAATATTCCCTGTTGCATGGCAAATGGGATTCTAAAGTATGAAATTGTCAGTATTCAGATACCTTGTACATTTGCCCAAATATGTTAGAACCATGAAAATGGGTTATTTTTCAATTTGTGGATTTTTTTTTAATCATGAGTTTTGGCTTTGGTTGTCAATTCTATGTCACACTATGGCAATATTAGTGTTCTTTGATTTACACACAGTAAAATTACCACTTTATTCACGAGGCAAAAAGAGGTAGTATTTCTCTTCCACAGCTTCCTAAACTGAGAAAGGAAGGTACATAGTTCATCTCCCAACTGGGCTCTACCAACAGAAATAACCGGGTGAAGGGGGGAGATACAGAACTCTGTGTGTGTGTGTGTGTGTGTGTGTGTGTGTGTGTGATTAACATGGCAAGTGGTGGTTTCAAAAGAGCATTTGCTAACAGTTTGTAAAAATAGGCCTTTCTTCTCTTGGAATTTATAAAGAAAAAGTCTTGCATTTATTTTTTCATAGCATAATAAACCTGTACAGAATGAAAAAAGTTCTCACATGCTGACTCCAGCTGACGGCCCATCGTTCATCCTTAAGAGACAGAGTTCTTTAACATTCCAAAGCTCTGACCCGGAGCAGGTCCACCAGAGTTTGCTGACCGCAATCCGTTCTGGAGAGGCTGCCTCCAAGTTAAAGAGAGTAAGTTTTCACTATCAGATGGGTGGCAGCGGCTCTATTTTCAACCTTGTTAAACTAACACTTAAGTGTGGGAAGGGGCATTCTTCTAATAGTCAAATATGAACAGGAAAGACACCAGAAACTATTCTTTGATTCCAGGAGTCATTTTTTTTGAGGTATAAACTGAAGGATATCAGAGTCTGACACATACTTAAAAACATGTCAGTTTTTTTTCCACTGTGTAGGCCAAGTTCAAAATATGACTGTATTCATTGTTGAGTGTAGAAAGCTAGCCTTGACTCTTATTTTAAGAAATTGTTAGCACAGTAAGAAAGAGTCTCTTGAAAGGCACCCCCACCCTACCCCTGTTTTTTTCCAGAAAAGGTAGACTTTTACCAGTGGGGACATTGATGTTACTTTGTGATCAAAATAACTATTGCCTGTGAGTTTTAGGGAGTTACAAAATGCAACCTAAGTTTTAAAAAGTGGAGAGGAATCTAGAGAATGCAGAGGCGAATTCATCCAGAGTTCATATTCATAATGCCACCACATGATCCAATCAACCTTACTTAGCTATAGGAGAAGCCATGAGGTGGAGGTGAGATTCCTCCAGACAGAATGGGAGTGACAGGTGAGTCTCACCTCTCTCTCCAACTTCTTTCCCTGGGAGAGGAGAGTACAGGGCAGGCTGACCAGCCATTGCCATGGAAGCCGCTTGTGCTGTGAGAAGCCCCCCAACATGGACGTTCTGAATCCTCTGACTGAGTGTTTTATGTTGTGACCTCTGTTGATGATCACATCAGAAGCTGTTTAAAGAAGGGCTAAGAGACCTGTCGAGTAAAACTTGGAGTTCCACAGAAGTTAAAGCCACAAAGGAATAGAGCTGCTGAAAAACAGAAGGGGCCAGTGTCTTATGTGTTCCAACTTTTGCCATGCAGAACTGTCCAAGGCAGTTTCCTCTGCGTGTGTGCATGTGTGCGTGTCTTACTGTTGTTTTAAGAAACTTGGCACTCCCTTCTGGGCAAGAATTGAGACAAAACAAAATATTAAGTGGTTTCAAGAATGCTAGAAACCTCAAGGAATAATTCAGAGGACAGATTTGAACTTTGTAGATTATATATAAGTACCAAGGCAGAAGAAAAGTTCATGTAGATTTAAATATTGAAATTAATACTTCATCAGTCCTCACAAATTTCTTTGCCAAGAGGGAAAATATGCTAGTGTCAATAAATAACCCGTTCTTGTTGATGAAAATATTTATTTTCTGTTCTTTGTCCAGGTAGTTACGGATGAGTTTCAAACCAATTACCACTGACCTAAGATTCCCAAATTCAATAAATTTGAGACACATTTTACTAGACACAGGACAGAAGGAGGAATAAGCAACACCATTATTGCCTTCTATGAAGCCTGGGCCTGAAAAACAATGTTGTATTGGATCCCCAGGAGAGCCTGGTGCCTACACAGGAGTTAAACACAGTTCTGTGGGGAGTGAGCAAGTGCTGCAAATACTAACCAGTTCCCATGTTGCACAGTACTGTGCATGGAACTGCAGATGTGTTTCAAGTCAGCAGCTGGATAGATATACAGGGGGATTCCTGGGCCTGATTTGGCAGGACTTTCATATAGTAAACTCTCACAACTTCCCGAAAGAGCTGGATCAGAACCAACAGAAGGGGGCCTAAATGATGTGCCTATAATTGTATCCTATTTAAAACTCATTACTTAAGATTCTATTGAGTATAAAACTTTATCTCATTGAGTAGGAGGTTATTAACAGCTTGGAGCCTATAGAGTGCCAGCTCCTAAGATTTTTTTAATGAACATTTCATACATAATCTATTGTATTTCACTAACCGTGGTTGAAGGGGCTAGTAATGGTCACAGCGTTTCAGCTCTAGTATATATCCTTAAAAGTGGCTTTAGTATACCAAGACTTAACATACAAAGGTGCTCATTCCATATCTTTTGTAAGGTTCTAAATGAATGTAACTCTAATTCTAAAAATAATCAACAATAGTGTTTTCGAAGAGTAGTCCATCTTATGGGGACATTTTTGAATGTCCTTTGATGGCTCATACGTTTATATAATGTGTGTTGGTCATGTCCATCTCCCAGTACTGCCTTCTCACTCCTCTGTCTGCTCCCCCATCTCGCTCCCAACTTCATATCCTCTCTTAGAAAGTGGTTGCGTTACTTCTCTGAGACTTTCATATGAGGTATTTTGTTAAAGTCATTCCCTTGCCCTGATCTTTCCAGATTTACTTACTTCTCGTTCCTTGCTCACCCATCTCTTGTGTCTTCTTTTTTTTTTTAAACCTCCAAGTCCAGTCTGTGCTGCCTATGTACTCTTGGGTGTTTGGCTAACTACGAAAGTGTGGTTAACCTACCACAGAGTCATACCCTTAAAACTGACTCTCCCTTTGGCAGCAGCTGTCAGGGGTCAATAACTCCTCGGGTAAAGGTGGGACCTCATGCAACTGATGTGTGGTGTACAGAAGAAGAGTTTCCTTGTAGTCATCCAAGTCTGACTGTCTTGTAGCTTTCTCTTCCCCAAAGATTCCTGAACCTTGGGAGGAGGAGTTGTGGTGTAGATTCCCATTTAAGGAAGAGTATTTTCTGGTCTTCCATTCTATAAATCTTGACCATTCATGAGTCTCTGTAAATTTCCATCTACTACAAAAAGAAGCTTCTTTGATCCCCATGAGAGATGCCCTAATCTATGAGTATAATGATAATCATCAGGACTTTGTTTAATCCTGTGTCTATTTAGCAGAATAATAGTTTCAGGTTTTTTTCATAGGGCCTATGACCTATCTAGCCAGAGGTTTGGGAATTCCAATAACTGTCCAGGTATGGGTTTCACCTTGTGGAGCAGGCCTTAAGTCCAGTCAAAAAGTGGTTGGCTACTCCACAACATCCATTTTACTATTGCACCGGTGGGCATGCCTTATAGCACATATGAACTCAACAGTGACTATGACAGCATATATAAAGCCTGCACAAGCTCAGGCGAGATAAAATCTGAATATTGAAAGGGGGAAAGGGGAGATGGTTCCATGTTTGCCTATGTCTTTGAACTCAAAATGTTCAGTCAGTTTAGTTCCAGGTACCAACCTGGCTATGGCTCTGGTTTCTGTAGAGCAGCTAACCCTCATTAGAATAGCTACCTTGCATTATGACATCCTGTTTATGTCCCTTGTGTGAAAGTGGCTGTGAACATGCTGTGATTTTTTTTTTTTTTTGGTCATGTTTCCCTGAAGCTTTTCTATACCTTATTCCCATTCGCCACACAGGTAGCCATGGGGACTAGTTTGTCTTCATACAAAGCTTTAATTAGCCTAGCACAATACTTTAAAATTGTGTTCATTGTTCAGATTGTCATGAATCAGCAAATTGTTTGTAGAGAATGAAGTTAAATCACCCATTATTGCTGGTCTTCATTGACACAAGAACTTTGACTGCTTCCAGTACTTTGTGTTGTCCCTAAATTACTGAAAATCAGGCCATTGAGTTGTTACAAATAGAATACAGTTTTTTAAAAATAGAGTCTAAGTAAATTTCTATGTTATGCTTTATATTGTTGATTGTCTCAGAATGTAAAATTTATCTTTGACTGGTAGAAGTCTGGAAGGAACAGCAAGTCTGTGGAAGCCTTTCACAGACTCTCACTGCCTTGTGTTATTTAATTAGCTTGCTTTTATTTTTTTAAAATTTGGTTTCATTTAAACAAAGGATCACAGGTCAACAGTTCTCTCTAAATGCATTTTCTGTCAAATATAACTAATGTTATGTTTCATAGCCGCAGTTTAAATTTTGTGACTAGTCATGAAAATTTCTTCAAACATCAAGGGTAGATAATCAGCAGGTACATCAGTAAGTTCTTGCATGTTAGTTTTTCAGAAGTGACTTTATTGTGGGTCTGGAGACATGGCTAGGAGGTTCTTGTCTGTTCTTGCAGAGGACTCCGATTTCGTTCGCAGTGCCCATGTGGCCACTCACAGCTGCCTGTAACTCCAGTTCCAGTGTATCAAATGCTCTCCTCTGGCTTCCGTGTTCACTAGAAATGCACATAAAATAAAAATAAATTGTTTCTAAATAGTAATTCTGTTGTAAATTATTTATGCACATAGTTCAAGTCAAATAATGCTTTGGTTTCTGAATGTTTCTAAAAAGTTGGCATATCTCTTTTGAGAAATATTCTTTAACACTAGACTGTGGCAGGCACCAAAAAAAAAAAAAAGGTTTGCTATAAAATGGACTGCAAGAGACAGGATCTCTGATTCCAGAGTTTGTATATTTATAGTCATGTATACTAATGACATCTTCTCATATTAATATATTTTTAAATATCAAAGAAATACCTTTTTTTCTTTTAAGGTAAAATCTCTCGTTTGTTTATTTGTGTTTTTGTTTTTGAAACAGTGTCTGATTTATTGTAGCTCAGGCTAGTCTTGCATTCACAATCCCTGTGCCCCAACTTCTCAAAGAGCTGAGATCATTGTAGATACATGCTATCAAACCTTGTGAGTAATTGTGTCTGGCACATTGCTATGTAACCCTCCAGAATATTGTGTTAGTATATAAACAAATCTAGTTTGTACCATGACATCTTCTGTAAAGAATTCATAAACTTACATCTCTGAAGCTTCCCATCATAGGTAGATCTATACTATTTAAGATGATACAGTCTTTTTTTTTAAATTAGATTCCTAAATATTAGGTTTCTGCATACATTTTTTCCACACGTGTTAGATTTTAGTTGACACTCCCTTGACTTCTCCTTCGTCTGCCTCCTTTGTTCTCCCACTCTAACATTTCACTACACTTAACTACTCTCTTTCGTTTTCCCCATTTCTGGCCCTTAAAGTACTCTTCCAGAGAACCAGAGTTCAGTTTCCAGAACCATGCCTGGCAGCCCAGCAAGGCTCCATTTTTTAATTGGATTATTTGGTAGTTTGATTTCTAGTTTCTTGAGTTCTTTGTATACTTTGGAGATCAGCCCTCTATCAGATGTGGGGTTGGTGAATATCTTTTCCCGTTCTGTAAGGAACTATTTTGTCTTACTGGCTGTGTCCTTTGCTTTACAGAAGCTTCTCAGTTTCAGGAGGTCCTATTTATTAATTGTTGCTCTCAGAGTCTGTGCTACTTGTGTTCTATTTAGGATGTGGGCTCCTATGCCTATGTGTTCAAATGTATTTCCCACTTTCTCTTCTATGAGGTTCAGTGTGGATGGTGAGGTCTTTGATCCATTTGGACTTGAGTTTTGTACATGGCAATAGATATGGATCTATTTGCATTCTTCTACATGTTGACAGCCAGTTATACCAGCAGCATTTGTTGAATATATTTCGTTTTTCCATTTTATATTTTTAGCTTCCTTGTCAAAATTTAGGTGTCCATAGGTGTGTGGGTTGATATCAGGGTCTTCAATTCGATTCCATTCTTGTAATATTTTACTTTACATGTAAAAAATATATATTTACTATTGTGGTCCATATTTTTTCCTTACATTCTTCTAAGTCTTTTAAAAAATGCCTTGGAATTCCAAGGTATTTGCAAAACTCTTCAGTTTTTTTTCCAGAGAGAGAGAGAGAGAGAGAGAGAGAGAGAGAGAGAGAGAGAGAGAGAGAGAGAGAGAGAGAGAGAGAGAGAGAGAGAGGAGAGAGACTCTGTAGGCCATACTGGCCTGGAACTGTCCTGTCTCAGTGTCCCAAGTGCTGGGATGGCAGGTGTGTGCCACCCTGCTTGACTGTCTTAAATAGTTTTTTTTCCTCCAGTGCTTTTGGAACACTCAACCATTGGGTTTTGAAGGTTGTGTGTTCACTGAATGAAAATTCCTGTAAAGCCCTTTTGTCATTCCATTGTTCTAGGCATAATAGTCACAGGCTTGACAGTTGGCTGTAGCCCTTACCTTGAAAGAATTCTTAAAGACCCAGTTTGGGTGGTTGATGCTTTTGTTTTAAATATATAGGGAGTTGGGAAGAGGAGGAGTTCAAACTACTTTTCTGATATTAGTTCAGAATTGTAAAATGCTTCCAAATTCACTTTGATTTTTCCATTTTTTAAAAGCACATTTGAGAAGCCAGGATTCATCTAGCTAAAACTGCCTTGTGACAGCTTGGCCTGCAGTCTGTTTGTGCTCTTGTCTTTTATGTTGGCTTGGTAATTTTATAAAGACTAAGATATGTTGATGGGTTATTTAACTTGTTTGTTGTGGAAATAACAAGTCTCTCATTTTTCATTTCATGATAGAGTGAACATTTATTCTTAATTATTTGTAAATCATTGAGTGATAAATACTGAATGCTAACATTTTCAGTTAAGCAGAGTTATAATGTGATAATAGTTGAAAATTAGACAGCTGTCCTATTTTATAAAAACTGATGGGAACAAAATGTGTTTCTTCCTCTTAGGTTACTGGTCCGTCAAATACAATATCTGTGAATGGGAAGTCAGGACTCAGCCATACCATGTCCTCTGATGCCCAGGACAGTCGCTAACATTACCCTGCGGTGACACACTTCACTGACCATCTTTCTGCCTACGAAATATTGGCAAATATATATTCAGATGTACATTAATATATAAATCTATTCAACATTAAGCATTTATGTTATGGGTTTAATGCCAAAAGAAAAATAACTAGAATTTATAATTTATATAATGTTTGATCTTTTGGTCATAACTAAATATTGCTGCTTTAGAAACTTTAAACAAGGTGTAAATGACTTGTTTTTTTTTCACATGGTAAATAATCACTGCTTAATGATTTTTCTTTTATTTATGGACATACTATGTACCATGCAACAAAGGTATAAATTGAAATTTACGGAAATATTGTATGACAGAGAAACAGGCAAGCACAAACTAACATTTACTGCCTCAGCATTAGGCCGTAATTAGAAACATAAATTATAATAAAACCTTTATGCTGAAAGATATGGAAGACTAGTAAATAAATAATGCTTAGTTATTATTATTGAAGAATCACTTAATGTCAGATTTATTTTGTGCATTCTTTAATTACAAGTGAGTGCCAGATCTATAGAAAATAATATTTTTAAATATAATGCTTTAACCATTAGAAGTTAAAGTGCACAAAGAGACTTTACGATGTTTTCTGTATATAATTATGGTGTTGCCACAGATATTACATATTTTCTAATGCCAGAAGTCTTAAAACATTCCTGTGAAAATGTTGATATGACAGTTATTTCACATTTGGTATATTGGGAAAATAGGGGCTGGTTGATGTCCACATTTTATACTTTAAAGACTAGTTAGAAGTTTCAAAAATCTGATTTAATTAAAATAAAATGCTGAACTAGTCATTTATGTAGTCCAGATGCTAATCATCTAAATAGTAATATATATTTCCCTGAAAGCCAAATTGGTTGAGGGAAACAATGCTTGATGTGTTGGCTTATGGTGACAGTGATCCTAGCTAGGGTCTAGAACATCTTGGTGTCCTGAATTTCCTTAAGAATTTAATTGTTCCTTTATTCCAGAAACTCTTCAAACAGCCTGACACTGTTTTGACTCTTAATAAAGCTACTGGGATATCTGCCATTTTGACAAACGTGAATTTTTTTCCATTTAATAAAAGAAAGATATATTTGAAGTCTCTTATTTCTGGAGTGGTTTGTGTTAACTAGCATATTTGAATAACTTACCTTAAAAACCGCATTTTAAAAAATTTTTATGTGTGTGTATATTTTGCCTGCATGTCTACCTGTGCAACCTATGTGTGCAGTTGTCTGTGGAGACCAAGAGAAGGCACCGGGTCCCCTAGAACTGGTGTTTCACACAGTAGTGAGCTGCTGGGTGGGTGCTGGGAACTGAATCCGAGTTCTCTGAAAGAGCAGTCAGTGCTCTTATCCACAGAGCCATCTTCCCAGCCCTGATGAACACGTTTCTGTCAACCATTAGCACACATATGATAGTAGCCCTTTCCAGTTATCAGATTTCCCAGTGAAGTGTTAAGCCCTGGTGTTCTGATGCCAGCACATAAAATACTTAGCATGGTTTCTGATGCTGTTGTTTCCTTGTTTCAAGCTTAGAGTGTGCATCTTCTGCACAGATAATTAAGTTCTTTCATTTTAAACCAGTAGAGAAAAGAATAGGCTTTTAAAAATCAGTGTTTGTACAATTGTCTATTTGAGGAAAACCGTGATGTCTACTTCAAACCATATCATCAATGTGTTTGTGTCAAATTGGAGGCTTTTAAAGTAACATTTAAAAACTTAGAATGTAATTTGTGCTTTCAGACTGTAGCATGTGAAAACTTTAGAATACACGACGCTGTCATAAAAGATATAATGGATCTCAAACCTTTAAGAGGTGAAATATATATATATATATATATATGTACCATGAAGGCAAATAAGGTACATGTAATGACATGTTTAGATATGTAAAGGGGTTGATTTTTTTAACAGAATAAGGAAATCTAAAAGGCTAGCAAACATGGAAAATAGTTTTTCATTGCTATTCAGAGCAAGTAGGGAATGCATAGGTTACTATCTCAGCAAAACTGCAAGGTCCAAAGTTAGTAAGCAAGCATCCAAAACAAGGAACAGCAATGGGCGATGTCTGGCTGTTGCTAGGAAATACACAGCAAATCAGAAGTTCCTTGCCTGTATCCTCAAAATTATTCAACATATAAAGGAAACGTTAACAAGATGTGACAGCCTTGTATGCATTCTTTCACTATTCCACAGGTATATATTCATGACAGACTCATATACAATACTCAATCAAGCTAGAGTTCTGGGTTAGCACAGGTAGAGCAAAAAAGTGAAAAAAGAAAGTTGTAAACCTAGATGGGTTTCAAGAAAGTATGAAATATGAGAGGTGACTGTACATTATGGTTGGGCACATAGAAAAAAATAAAATCTCCTCCCACACTTGGTAATGGCTGGTCATTTAGAGGAACCAGATGAGGGAAGCTAGTGAGAATTATGGGAGCCATCAATTGCGTTTCTGTGTTTTCTTTTAGAAACTTGTTTGAAAACAAAGATTTCTTACAGCTCAGGTTCTAAGCTACAGAAGTAGTCTTAATAGTTTATAGGTTTCATGGAATGGAGGATGGGATGTGTCAGTCTCTGAGTCATTCATTAGGAATTTTGAAAAGGTCTGCCCACACTGCCTTAAACTTTTGTCACCATCTCCTTAACTGAGAAGTCTGACAAGTTGTTTTTCCCCTAATTTCCCTGAGATAATAACAAGAATACACGACAGGAATGACCTAGAAACAACTTCAGATTATTATGTTGAATGTTGAAAAGCTATATAATGTTGAATAGCTAGGCATTTCATCCTGATAAGTTGTTTACAATGTTTTAAAATTATAATTTGGATATAAATATGAGATTTTTATTCTTAGTGTCTCAGCTCCCTCTCTGAGGGAACCACTGTTAATGTTTCAATCAAATCCATCTGAAGAATCTCTAAGGTCTTGATTATCTGTTTATCGGACAGAGCTGCACACTAATGTTCTTTTTGTTTGTTTGTTTTGTTTTAAACAATATTTTTTTTATTTAGGTTAGAAACAGTGTTGTTTCACATGCCATCCCCAGCTCCCTCTCCCTCCCCTCCTCCCCCGCCCTCCCCACCAGGTTCCCCAGTCCCCCACCCAATTTCCACTCTGATCCCCAGGGAGGTTGAGGCCCTCCATGGTGGATCTCCAGTAACTGTCATTTCACCCAGGGCAAGGCCCTCCCCCCAAGAGTGCCGGCTGAGAGAACCTCCCATATTTTGGCATGGGCACTCAAAGTCTATTTGTACGCCAGGGATAAATACTACCCAAGGCCCCATAGATTACCTAGGCCTCCTCACTGACACCCACATTCATGGGGTCTGGGTCAGTCCCATGCTTTCCACACAGCCATCAATCTGGGGTTCAAGAGCTCCCCCCTTGTTCAGGTCGACTGTTTCTGTGGGTTAAACCAGCTCAGTCTTAACTCCTTTGCCCATCAGTTCTCTCTTTCTGACACTGGATTCCAGGAGTTCAGTTCAGTGTTTGTCTGTGGGTATCTGCCTCTGCTTTCATCAGTCGCTGGATGAAGGTTCTGTTTCCCAGGCTCTCTGGCATACACTAATGTTCTTAAGAAACTTGACTTTTGGTATATTATTCTGGAAGAGAAAGTTTTTTTGTCTATTTTTTTTATTAATATTTTTTTTATTTTCCATTTTAAATTTAGATAAGAAACAAGGTTGCTTCACAAGTCAGTACGAGGTCCCTCTCCCTTTCCCTCCCCTCCTCCCGTGCCCTCCCTCCCATCCCCCCCCCCGTTATCCCCTCATTCCCCCAGGGAGGGTGAGGCCCTCCATGGGGGTGTGCATAGTCTGTCATTTCATATAGGGCAGGGCCTAGACCCTTCCCCAAGAGTTCAGGGTGAGAGTGCACCTCACATTGTTCTATGGGAGTCCAGAGACCGTGTGTATACTTGGGATGGGTACTGATCTGCTGTCCAAGGCTCAATAGATTACCTAGGCCTCCTCACTGACACCCAGATTCAGGGGGTCTTGATCAGTCCCATGCTGGATTCCCAGGCTGATGTCTGGGATTCAAGAGTTAACCTTTGTCTGGTCAGCTGTTTCTGGGGGTTCAACCAGCCCAGTCTTACTCCCTTTGATCATCAGTCCTCCCTCTCTGTTACTGGCTTTCTTGAGTTCAGCTCAGTACTTAACCAGCCAGTAAATGAAGTTTCTGTTTCCCAGACTCTCTGGCAATAGGATTGTAGGCTGGCACTCCCCAGATCTATGTCTAAAATCCATATATGAAAGAGTACATGCCATGTTTCTCTTTTTGTGACTGGGTTACCTCACTCAGGATGGTTTCTTCTAGTGTCATCCATTTGCCTGCGAATCTCATGATTCCATTATTTTTTTCTGCTGAATAGTACTCCATTGTGTAGATGTACCACATTTTCTCTATCTATTCTTCGGGTGAGGGACATCTAGGTTGCTTCCAAGTTCTGGCTATTACAAATAAAGCTGCTATGAACATAGTGGAACAGACATCTTTGTTATATGAATGGCCATCTTTTGGATATATGCCTAAGAGTGCAGTTGCTGGGTCTTGTGGTAGGTTTATTCCCATTTTTCTGAGGAATCTCCATACTGCTTTCCAAAGTGGCTGAACCAGTTGGCACTCCCACCAGCAATGGAGGAGTGTCCCCCTTTCACCACATCCTCTCCAGCATAAATTGTCATTGGTGTTTTTGATTTTAGCCATTCTGACAGGAGTGAGATGGTATCTCAGAGTTGCTTTGATTTGCATTTCCTGGATGGCTAAGGATGTTGAGCACTTTCTCAAGTGCCTCTCAGCCATTTTAGACTCCTCTATTGAAAACTCTCTATTTAGTTCTGCAGCCCACTTCTTAATTGGGTCCTTTGCTGTTTTGGAGACTTGCTTCTTGAGTTCTTTGTAAATTTTGGAGATCAACCCTCTGTCAGATGTGGGATTAGTGAATATTTTTTCCCATTCTGTGGGCTGCCTTTTTGTCTTGCTGACTGTGTCCTTTGCCTTACAGAAGCTTCTCAGTTTCAGTAGGTCCCATTTATTAATTGTTGATCTCACTGTCTGTGCTACTGGTGTTATGTTCAGGAAGCTGTCTCCTGTACCAATTCGTTCAAGGGTACCACCCACTTTCTCTTCTAAGAGGTTCAGTGTGGCTGGATTTATGTTGAGGTCTTTGATCCATTTGGACTTAAGTTTTGTGCATGGCGATAAACATGGATTGATCCGCATTTTTCTACATGCCAGTCTCCAATTATGCCAGCACCATTTGTTGAAGATGCTTTCTTTATTCCATTGTATATTTTTAGCTTCTTTGTCAAAGATCAGATGTTCGTACGTGTGTGGGTTAATACCCGGATTTTCAATTCGATTCCATTGGTCTGCCTGTCTATTTTTGTGCCAATACCAAGCTGTTTTCAGGACTATAGCTCTATAACAGAGCTTGAGATCAGGGATAGTGATGCCTCCGGACGTTGCCTTGTTGAACAGGGTTGTTTTGGCTATCCTGGGTCTTTTGTTTTTCCATACAAAATTGATTATTGTTCTTTCAAGGTCTGTGAAGAATTGTGCTGGGATTTTAATGGGGATAGCATTGAATCTGTAGATTGCTTTTGGCAGGATTGCCATTTTTACTACATTGATCCTACCTATCCCAGAGCATGGGAGATCTTTCCATTTTCTGAGGGCTTCTTTAATTTCTTTCTTTAAAGATTCAAAGTTCTTACGATACAGGTCTTTCACTTGTTTGGTTAGCGTTACCCCAAGGTATTTTATGTTGTTTGTGGCAATTGTAAAGGGTGATGTTTCTCTGATTTCTCTTTCAGCCCTTTTATCATCTGTATATAGTAGGGCTACTGACTTTCTTGAGTTGATCTTGTAACCTGCCACTTTGCTGAAGGTGTTAATCAGCTGTAAGAGTTCCCTGGTAGAGTTCTTTGGGTCATTGATGTAAACTATCATATCGTCTGCAAACAGTGAAAGTTTGACCTCTTCCTTCCCAATTTGTATCCCCTTGATCCCCCTTTGTTGTCGTATGGCTATAGCTAGAACTTCAAGTACCATGTTGAAAAGGTATGGAGAGAGTGGACAGCCTTGTT